TTCTTCGTATAGCTGTAAATAATCGCTCATATATTGCTTAGTTAATCGCAGGGCCGTAACTACGGAAGACGTGGGGGGATTCAAACGCCCCCATTGATTTTCATTTAATTATTCAGTTAATATATTTTGAATGACCTTTTTTTGCTATACCATCCCTGATATATACCTAAGCCTAAACTTTTCCATTCAAAAATTTTAGCTATGTCATTGGTTAACTGATAGAGTAAGTGCTACTTATAGCATTTTATATAAATTAGGTAAAATTGTTTTTTATTATATTTTTTAAATTTTTAGTATTTTTTATCGATTTTACGAGTATCTGTCTAATTTCTAACATCAATCATTTTTGATTCAATATAATTATATCTGTCAATATCAGATAAATCCCAAAATATAAAATTATAAAAATATTATTTTTGTAATTAAATTACTATTCAATATGTATACACTATTTATATAAATAACATCAACAAATTTGCAATATAAAAATGTTGTATTTGCTACAATTTTTTTTTTTAAATATTCATACAAATTAAATTAAAACATTTTTATACTTTTGGAATAATTTTATAGTAGCTTGGTAGTCTTTCGGGGGTGAGGGAGTAAGCCTGCAGCCCTCTACGATTTCCGTTAATCATTGTGTCGGCAATTATTTCAAAAATATGAGCGTGTGTACGGAATAAATTAATCGAAAACGCCAAACATTTCAGTTAATCAATTATAATATACCATTATGTTTTATTCCATGCAGCTCTTTTGTTTTCGTTCACTTTAAATTTCATAATTTATAATTATTTCGCGTTCGAAAATTCAATTATGCATGTACATGTCATGTATGTGTATATAATATATATAAACTTATATCTGTATATATAAATATATTTTGTCTTACCGACAACTGATTGCAATATTATATACATGACTGCTTTACATGAGCCAAATACAATGGTTTTGTTCATAAAAAGAAATATAAATTGTTATAAACTGTTTTGAATAGACCATAATAATTAACATTGTGAGTCATAATAAATGATATCTAATTTTTATTTTTTTTGTTGAAACACTTGATAATAACTGTTATTAGTAGATGGAATCATTTTTAAAATTGTTCATTTATTTGTTTGATAAAAATTGTTTATTCCATGTATATATATATACACACACACACATATATTAATTGATTCACCAGTCTAGGACACCCTAATTTTTCCTTTATGTTTTTCATATTTTTATTTTTTGGATTTTTAGGTATGTTTACATTTTTTATGCTTAAATAAGTGCTTTACTGTACTTAGATTTTGTAAGCCATAGAGTAACAAGTGAACCATTATTTTTATTGTATATTTAAAAAAAAATGATTTATTAGTTTGATTTATATAGTTCTAATTAAAGTAATTTAATAAATAAAATAAAAATCCATGACTATATGTTTAAAAAATATAGTGCTAAAATGATTGGATAATTATAGATATTAATAGTATTATATATGGACCAATATATTTTGAAATTTGTAAAAAAAAATGCTTGAATGTAATAAAACATATTAAATTAAATATTCCATTTCATTCTGTTTTGTATTTAATGTTAAAGTTAAAAGTAATAATTTAAAAAAAAAAATATATATATATACATTTATATACAGTAATCTTGTAATTAAAAAATATTATCTTTAATTTGTAAGGTTTAACTACTAGTATGACTTAAATTTAAATATTAACCTTAAAAATGAATCTATTAATTTACAAGTAAATATAGCTATTAATAAATATGATATATATATATATACAAATATAATATTATGAAGTTGATATATTATTTTATAATTTATTATTATAGGTAATTTGATTATGAATCATTTATGTTAAAATTTACATTTAAATCAAAATTTGAACAAGTATTTTAAATTATAAATCGTTTATTTAAGATATTTAAAATAGTCTTAACATTTAAAAACTTAATATACACTATGTACCAGGTAGTAGGTAGTTATTTAAATTAGTACTCACCGTTACACAGATCATCATGTTCTTATCTGAAACAAGATTAAGGACCGTATAATTAAGGGCATAGTCGTTTTCGAACAAGAACGTACCCTTCACTGAAAACAAAATTTTATAAAATATATGTAAACAAATAAAATAACTGATACATATTTGTATAATTAGGGCAATTATTTTATTTTTTTACATAAGTATATTATATAAAATTTTGTTTTGGTCGAAAAGGGAATCGATTTTTTTTTTATTTAGTCGAAAAGTGAATCGGCCAAAAAGAGAAGGGTACGTTTTTAGTCGAAAACGGTCTCGCCCGTAATTAAAGTAAATGTATTATGAAGCTATTATGATTTGTTAATTTATTTTTTTATTTTTTTATAAATCATAATATTATAATAGTGAGTAGATAAATATATCCAAACATGTGATACTTAATATTATACATCTATAACAAATAATACAATATTTTTATATATTTGATTAAATAATTTGAATTACTTTTGAAGAGTATAAATTATAAGTCAATAAACTAATTTTAAACTTAATGTAAATCACGTAATATTTTTTTATATAAACCAATAATAAATGACTCTCGATCTGTTTACAATAATTGTTTATTTTGATAAAGGAAAACCAACACATTCACCGTCTTGGACGGCATACAACTTCTCTTGGCCTAACTATGTTTCCAGCGGTTGAGAAACACTGTTCAAAACTAACTGAATTTGCTGGTATGCCTAAATACTTTACAGCTAAGAACAACTTTAAATGAATACTTTGATGCACTCGTCTTTCATCATTCTAAAATGAAACCTTATTTGTAGTTCTGCCATGTAATTTTGAAATTGAACTGTAGAGTCAAATGTATTACAAGTTGTCTTTATTACTGTATATACATTTAAGTGCACTATAGTTGTATTTTGTTTCAGATGTTCGTATTTGCATATTACTATTATTTTCTCTAATATCATTTAATAAACACTTAACTTATGTTTGAATTTCCTCTCTTGCATCTGCTTTCTTTTGTTTTAATTCTTTGTATCTTGTGTTGAGAAAAGATGCAATTTTATTCGTCTAGCAGACACGGCACTGGAAAAATTCCACTGTAACTTAAAACGATCTTTTAATTCTCGTATTACAGAACATTTAAAATGTTCAGCTATTTCATCATAATTTAACTAACGTCGTAAATACTTTTCTATAACAACGTTAAGAAGAGGCCTAACATTGAAATAGAACAATATTTTTCTCTACAAAATACAGTCGTAATTATTTGTAGAGAATTTAGTAATTTAATTATAGTTTCTATAGCTGTCCATTACTTTTCCATCATTTCAAATGTTGTATTATTGCTATTGCAGTAATTGTACAATCAAACATTTGATACTTGGCACCTATTTTTATAAATTCGATCATGCATACAAAGTTTCATCTCGTTTTACAGCTTTGAATTAAATATTTCATTCGTAAACCAAGTGGTTCCTGCATAGATTTTATACTCTAAGTAACCAAATTTTAGTTTAAAAAATGAATTCATAATAGTTCTACACTTTTATGTTGTTTTCAAAGAGGTGGCTCATAAAATATTGAAAATGATGAATAATCAGTATTTAAACTATTTGAAGATGTCAATGAACTTCATGGTATACCAAAAGTCATATTAAACTCTTTAACTTCAAGATCATAATCATCACTAAGAAAAAAAATTAATTATAACAATAATTAAAATTATTTGACTTAATTATAGTAAAAGTACTTTAGTAGATTGATATACATGAACATAATGTAGTATAACAATCATGATTAGAGTTAGTGTATATTTATTACAAACTTATTACAATATTTTGAACGGTCATATGGTTTTAAATAATTAAACATAAATGTATATTTTAAAATTGTAATAGTCTAAATGGCAAAAACTAGTCATAATATTATTGTTGTCATGCAATATAAATATCTTATGAGGTAAATAAGTTATTCGTACCATCAGTGTTCGGCAAAAAATTTTGTGTTAGTCGCCTTGCTTAGGTCGCGACAATAGGAGTTTTTATATTTATGCGTCATAAACGGAAAGGGATTTGAACTGAAATGTATATGCATGTGTTATTTTAATAAATGAATATTATTAGTATTTCCATTTTCCAACTTTCATTTCCTGATTGAAAATAATTAAAATGTATACCTTATTTGATTTTAAGTAGTTCTACTGACGTTATGTATTATTTTAAAATGTCTGCCTAATTTTTCTGTTAATCCATCAAAAAAACACAATTCATTATTTGAATAATCATCACATAAATAATAAAAAGCTTTATCACCTCAGTGTTTATCACATTGTTATACTAATCTTTTTGACCGATGACTTATTTTCTAAACCAAAATAATAAAATACAGTGCTTCGCGAACTAACAGTGAACACAAATGTCACCAGCACACAGTACAAAATAGTCTTAAAATAGACAAAATATTTTTACAAGCTATCAAGTCAGTAAAATTGTCAATGAGATAATTTTTAAGTTATTTGCTTAAAACCAATTTGGTAATAACCATATGCATAATATTACAAATAACGATGACGTAGATTTATAATAGATTACATAATTAAGCACCTAAATCATATTTCAAAACTCTTTAGATATCACATTTTTGAGTAATAAAAGATATAAGATTTTGAAATTATTATATTATATTATATTATATTATGTTTATTTTTATAAAAATAAATTTGTTATTTAAATCAATTACGTGGGTATTGAGTATTCGGGTATTTACAAGATGGATAATAAATACACGGGTAATTTGTGTTAAATACAAATTTATCGGTTAAAAATATAACCGTGTATTAAAAACACGGATTTCACTACATTTTTAATGAATGTACCTGGGTAGGTCATGTGTATACGTGTGCTTTAATCACGTATGACCACAACCCATAAAAATGTCAATAGATTTTTCTGTTCGAGAAAGCCGCTTTCAGTCATCTTAATTTTAGATTTTAATTTGTAGGTGGACTTTGGTACTGTTTTTCGTTTGTCTTCATCTGCAGAACCATTGAAAGTCATAACACTTGAAGTCAGTGGTCCAGATCTATTACGTGTTTCTGTAAACACGAGGCAGTCGAATAGGTCAGTGTTGATCGCTGCAGTTTTAGCCGATGGGATTACTCATCAGCTAGGGTTGGGGTAAGTTTAAAACATATTTTTATTTCCATACTTTATTTAAAAGTCATTATGAATTTAATTTTAATTTATGATAATTTAATTGTAAATAAAAATAAATTGATATATATTATTTTCATAGTATTATAAGGTACTACAATTTATAATTGTATGGTTCAATATAAATAACTTTCATAAATGTACAATACGTCGTTATTTCATAATAGCATTATGATTTATAACTATTAAATTCAAACTTATTATTACATAGCTGATACAATTAAATTTTGTACATAATATATTTAACTATAAATAATATTAAATACGTTATTTAACGTTAAAAACATTATTAGATGTATCATAGTTATTTTAATACAGAAGAAACATGATAAAGTTTATAGACTAATGTTGAATGCAGAAAACGATAGAGGTTTTAAGAAAGAATTGACTAAGCACATTGAGTATAAGTAGTATAACTAAGGAAACCTTTTTGTTCTTGTTCAAAAACATTTATTTATTTTTTTTTTTTTTTAATTACATTCATACCATTGATTATAGAATAGACTATTTCGTAATCTATAATTCACAATAGTTAATTTTATATTTATCATTATTACTAAAGAAAAATACTTAATAAGTATTAATTGCGTGCTATATAAAATAATATCATATTATTTATAGATTTCAAGAAGATGAAATCATAGCGTATTTGGACTGCAGATGGGTTACGACTGAAACGCTTATGCAAAATTCATATGCCTCGTCTCCAGAATATTATGACATGGACGTCTTCGAGGAATCGTTAACGGTATGTTTTATATTTTATAAATATTATATTATATCATTATAATAATATTTTTTTACTTTATTTATTTTTTTTTTTTTTTATTGATCATATTTTAAAAGCCCGGAAATTAAGGTCATTAGCTGTGGATAGGAACAGAAGGTTTTTTTTGTGTAAGGCTTGGTTAGTAGGGTTGGAACACACGTGTGTATGAGTGTGCGCCATGGATTCGTCACTAAGACTCGGGTGATCACCCATCCGAGAATTAGCGACGACGGCCGATGTTTGACCTCAGAACACATTTGTGACCGAGGCCAACCACCGCAACACACCAGACCACTTCCTTACTATATATTTATTTTTATAATTCATTGCATAAAAACTGTTAGGATTGTTTGTTTTCATGAAAAAATTTATTTTTTTTAATAGAATATTTTTTTCTTTTTTTTTATAATCTGTATTAAATAAAAGGATCATTAAATTTGATGAGTAGAAAATAAATGATGTTAGGATGAAATGAATAATGAAAATGAGTATTGATATTACATTTATTATATTCATATATACATAAATATTAATTACATTATTGTAAAATATGATTATGTCTTTATGTCTATCGAACCATTACAAAGTTTTTTTATGTCTCGTTGTATTTTTGTATTTATTTTTTAAAAGCTTAGTTAAAATTTGATTCATAAGGATTTATAAAATACAATTACTTTTTAAATTCTAATAGGTTATATAACACTAAATAAAATGTGTATTTAATATGTTAGTTCAAACAGTTTATATTAATAAATGAGCTACATTTGCTAATCAAATACTTTAATCTTAAGTTTAAATTAGTATTTAAATTTTAATTAATTGGCATACTTTGTATAGTAAGATAGATTTCAAAAATATCTTTAAGACTGAAATGAAGTAACTTATAACTATAGACACGTTAAATATTAGTTTTAATAACTTTTAAAATTTAAACTTAAAAATACATAACTTTTGTAATCATATTTTGTATAGTAAGAGGCGCTTTATTTTTGTATTACTTGTCTTTTATATAATTCAATAATTTCAAAAATCAATCATTGATTAAAACATTTTTTTAAAGTATTAAATTTAATTGAACAAAGCCAAATTTAACTAACAATAGAATAATTATTATCTTAAAGCGTGAAAATTTTAAAATTTTATTCTGAAAATAACTATTTAGAATAATAAGATCGCATTTATTTTAACTACTAATAACATCGTTGTTTTCAGTTACCTACATGTATAGTATTTTCAGTCGGTAATTCACTTCTATCATAATTTGATCTGTTTTTACGAACCTAACTTTTAACAATATATAAATTAACTAATGGTTACGACAGTGACAGTGGCTTATTGAAAAAGTTTAAATATTAATCAATAATAATAAATACGTTTTTTGGTCTATTCTTCTGGCATCATACATAATGAAATTTAAAAAATATTCACACTAATTTAGGAGTATATAATGAATTTTCAATTTTTTTTTTTATTGATTTATGTTTATAATATTTTTGTTTTTCGATCAAAAAATAGATATTCTAAAGAAAAGTTCCAATTACTTTATACATACATATATAATATATATATATATATATATTAGGTTCGTTTTCTTCACTAAGAATTGTTATTTTTTGTGTGATGATTTACCAATTAATTCAAATTAAAAATATTAATATAGTCACTAAAATAGTTACCTATAATTTACTCAATAACAACGTACTTACTATACACCACGTCGAGTACTCTGGTTAATTTTTTATTAATACATTTTAATTGTAAAATTGTTTGCACGACACCAATGATAAGAAATTAAAAACACACTACGTACACTGTTCCATTTTATATCATGACACTATATTTCGGTCATAAAACAATGCATATTAACTTGATTAGTTTCAGTTCTAAATTTAAAATATAATTTGTCAATTACACAATTACATAATAAATTAATCAAACAATACTTAAACAATATATTAATATTATCATATATTACAACTTGAAGTTCTTAACAAAAAAAAAAAAAAAAAAAATGGTGTGAAAATATATAATCTATGCGTAATACTTTTACTAGTTGTTGTAACTTAGAATATTGGAATTTTTTAGAAGGTACAAAAATGTAGTTATTTTTATGGTTAGTACATTTAATTAGAAATTTTAATTTTTAATTATAAGGTACTAAAATATTATACATATTTTTTTAAGTGATTTCATATTTGCCTAACTGAGTACAATATGATATATATATTTATATTACTGTAGAGTCTAGAGGCAAGTACTTCTTTGGTTACATTATTTGATCTTTAATAATATTCTGAGCAAATTATATTAAATAGTGACAAATAATGCACATTTTTTAAATTATTTAATAATTTCGATTACTATAACTCTTAATATTTACATATAAATAAAATTTCTTTTTTAAAATTGTTCTTGTTCTATAGGTTTACAGTTATTGAAAATTCAGTATTTTTAATATGTTTCTCAAACTTAGTTCTTTGAAACTAATATAAGTATATTTTTCATACTTTCGTATTAGTCATATTTATTATTTTGTGTGTGTGTGTGTGTGTGATAACATCTTACGTTTAATTATTGGTGAATACATTTCTGAAAATAGTTTTACTAATTCAATGTTTTTTATTAATTAGTTGATTGAAAGTCATCTGGCAAAACTTTAATAAATTGATTAACTTCTTTTAGATAATTACCAGGTGTCTTATTTGAATGATTTTTAATCATATTCATCTTACGTTATTTAGCCATCAAAAACTTAAGCTTGTTTGATTTAGTTTACTTTGTATAAATTGTTGTGATATTAAGTGTACTAAAAAAAAAAAAAACATGATTGAAAATTCTTGCTATAAAAGTTCAATTTAAACAGTTTTATTATTATTTTTTTTATTATCTAGATCATTTAATTCATATTAAAACACTGAACTTAACTATAAAATTTTACTCAAAACTATAACTATATCTTAAAATTAGGCCTTATAAATAGTTAAAATAGTTACTCATTTGTATTCGATTTTACAGTATAATTAATACAATAATTGTAATCCATATCAGTATTTTCAATAAATTAAAGCAACATCATGCAATACTCATTTAACTATTACAATAATAAATTACCATATTTAATTTAATAAATAATATTCAAGTATAAAGTTATATTTGATTACTCTATTTGACCAGTAAAATAATAAACCACTCAAAATATTATAAAAGGATACCCTGCAGGCTTAATAAACTAATAGGCCTGTTTAAAAATATAAATATTTGCGTCGTCACGGTTTACATCTATTAATTAACACTATTTTAACAGTAATATTAGTGGAGTTACAGCAAAAAAAGTATACATTTTATCGGGAATTAGTAGTTTAAGGGTTACAATATTTAGCCATTATGTGTATTTACTTCTATATTATCAATTTCAATCAGAATCTTAAAATTCGAATCAATTAATGGTTGTATCAATTTTCCTATGTGTTTTTTAAACGCGCTATTTAAATATAAATAATATTGTGTACGACATTGTAATTTTATGCATGTACGATCAAGGTCTCATATTTTTATTATATTCAAAAGGATCTCTTCTAGATTTGAATGAATAGCATGGAATTTCCGGTTTTGTCTGGTTTACGGTGGTTATAAATAATATTATATTAATTGGATTTCGTCGTTATTGGGGTGTGTTTTGCAGGCGGATTTGGTGCAAATGATCGTCGTGCCGGACCCAACAGCCGTTTCAGACCAATGCACCGTGTTTCGGATAGCCGTGCTGGACACGGAGATTGTCAAAACCAAAATAAGGTCAGTATAATATAATATTATTTTATGAAAATGATAATAATAGAGAATAATCGAAATAAATCCATCGGTATTTATAAATTCATTAAAACTTGCAGAGAAACCGCCCCCATTATAATAGTAATACATATATAACCAGACTTATTTGTTTACTGATCGTATAATTAATATAGTATTAAAAGTGACGTGCAGGAGCGGCAAATGAATCTCAATCAAACAATGCGTATTTTTCACTCGAAAAAAATGTACATCAATTAAATGTATTCTTTACTGCTTCAATATTCGGAATGCATAAACCAATTACGTTTTATACGTCTGTTATATAATATTATTTAGGTACCTATTAACTTGGTATTTGACATAAAAGAAATTGAAAAACATAATATGTTCACAATTCAAGTTATTATTTTTAAGAGTTTCTTAATTTTAAATGATTATTTAAAATATTTAAATAACTTATTTTCTTGAAGTATCAAGTAATTATTAAAGAAAACTTTGTGAACTGTAATATTGATTAGCAATATTTGTATTATTGATGAATAATATTACGCATTATTTAATTTTTTTTTTAAACATTTTTATTTATAATGTTTATTCTCGGAACAGTGTTTATTCGAAATTTTTTAACTTGGGTTTTTAAGTGTTTATATTTAAATAGTAATCATATACATATCATTTTTCAATAAGACTGTATAGAGCGTAAAGTATAACTTACGTATAATAAACTTGACTTGACAATATTCGTTTTAAACACAATTTTTTCATATTTTTTTCAATACAATATTATCGAAATTTGAGTCAATAAACGAGTAACTAAAGTAATTATAAAAATAATTATTTTGACGCTATACTGGTTTATATACAAGAAAATACTAAATTAATTTATACCTCATACTAAAAGTATAATATTTTAGCAGAAAAACTTTCTCATACTAATTTATTTATTGAGCATTGTTTATTTCAAATACTCGACAATATTTTATTTACTTCGTTCAAGTCTAATATTAGTACTTTTGCTAATTAATCATTATAAAATACATTAATGTATTTTTTTTTTTTTTTTGCTTGCGTTTAATTATCGGGCGCTTGTATAAGATGGAACTGTTAAAATTGGTATCATTGTTATCTTTTAACATTTTAATTAGCCTACAGGTGTATACACAGTAATTATATAGCTCATACACATATGTAGGTATTGTTGACATTTATATTTTTATTAATTTATATATTTATTTTTTTTATTATAAATTTCAATCTCCATAGATTAATATTAATATCGTTTCTATGATAATAATTTAATTTTATCTGCAACAATGTATGATAAATGAAAAAAAAAGAGCACTTGCGTTTTAAATCAGTATAATCGGATAGCATCGATAATATGAGGGTATGTGAATAATCACAAACCACTATCCAAGAAGTCTTTTGGTCACATTTATAACAATTGAAACTGTTTATTATGCATAAGGGCGTAACATCAAATTGACATTCTCAAAAAATTAACTTCATTATTTTCGTTGACGGCAAAGTACGCCCACATAACATTATATTATAGTTATTATTCATTAGTTATAATATCAGTGTGTACAATTCGATTGCGAAATTATTATTATATTTAAACTCATATTTGTTAATAGGCCATTATGATATAAGTTTAATGTTTAATTTGAAATTATATTACATATAATCGTTCAATGGTTATCGATTTTGTATCTGTATACTTATTCCAACCGTCTTAGGTGAGGTAGATAATATTATGCTCTAAATATTTAAGCACGTTTTAAACACTGTTCTGTTCTGTTCGTACGCGGTAGTTATATATTATAAAGGATACTGAAAATTTCAACCGGAAGTACTATGCAATCCCTCAGAGAAAATACCGGATAACGTTTGGACGTGATGCGAGAAAGAATAGAAGTTTATAACTAAAAAGTTTTTCATTATTTTTAACAACAATTGTATTCCAAGAATAGTCATGAAAAAGGAAAACATAAGAAACATAAGTAATTTGATTTATTTCTTAAAATGTATAGTGTTATCGTCTGTACGACAAACTATGTCTTAAAGTAAATTTGCCATTAAGTCTGTAGTAAATTAAGTTAAATTTGTAATAATATTCATACGACAAATTGTGCATAGGTATTATTGTATTTTAATTTTAAGTATTTTTATTAATATATTTTATAAGGGACAACTGATAAACGTTAAAATTATCTTAGATTATTGTTAATTGTATTATTTTGAAATTTAATTTAACGCACAACAAATAAAAGTACTGTTACTCGATTAGCCATAAAATACAGAAGTTTAATTGGATGAGAGGTTCAAACAGACACCATAAATGTAAAACTTTGACAGTTTCCAATTGAAAGTTTAAGGTGTCAAAATGGCCAAAGGGTAAACTCGTATAACATTTCTCGAAGAGTAGTAATCAGATAACGAGCCCAGTTTAGTTAAAAATTCCAAGAGTTTCTAATAACTAAAAGTTAGATATTGTTAAATTTGATACTAAACTTAATAATAGGTACTTGCTGTAAGCATTATAGTAACTTATAAGACTTCATAATTTCAAGAAATATTTATTTATTTAAAGCATAGTATATAACATAGGTACCTAGTTAATAATTAGAAATGTATAATTTTGGATATTTAATATAAGTATGAGTATAAAATTATATTATTATTAACAACAAAAGCATACCATAAGATTTGAATAAACTCCAGGAACGGAGATTTTAATTTTAAGAAAAATGATAAATCATAATATTTGAAAAATGTTTTTAATCTTACCTAACCTATTGATTTATTAATTGTAAATATTTGTCTGAAAATGGGTGTTTGCTTTATGATTAATGTTTTAATGGTTTTCTCAAAAACTATTAAGATATTATTTTTAAATCTCTTAAGTTAGTCTTTTTTTTTTTAGATTTTATTATAGAAAAATTGTTTTTCTGAAAATACTAGTATAAATCAAACATATTGTTAAATCAATATAGCTCTATACCTGTGTTCAGACTTAGAACTAATAATTATGTTATTGGCATAATTTAATCAGTGAAAATAATAACATTATAAAAAATTGTATCTAAATAATTAACTGTGATTTATTTAATTGTAAGTTTTATAATATATTTTAATAGCAACTATTATTCAATAGACTAGTTGTAAATTAAAACTTGTATCATTTAAACTGAAATAGTTAGATAACGCAAATTGTATGTAATGCCATTGAAAGTTAAGAAATAATGATCAAAATTTTTAATTTATTACTCATTCAATGTCGTTTTAACGGGAAAATTAAACGTCGAAATAGTATATAACTACTGCCTAATTGATATTATGTTTATCTTAAATTTCATGCTATTAAAAGTGTATCATTGAATTGTTTTTATGAAATATCATTCCTAATCACTAAAAAAATACCGGTAATATAAGTCTAAATATATTATAGTGTACTTAATATACGTATTATTAGTGCTGGAGTTAAACAATAGATGTATTTCGTTAAAAACATGTAGTGATAAATGAGTATACAAAAGTTGGTTAGTCATAATCGTTATATATATATAACACATTTCTATGGTTTAAAAAAGAAAGGGTTGATATTTAATAAAATATGCGTAATGATGTCATAAAAAATTCAAATATATTATCTTAAATATTTTTTGTTTAATACTCAACTATACTTATATTTAATAATAGTCATAATTCATATAATAACATTTAATTTTCATTTAATATTCATATTAATATAATATTATGAACTTACCCAACTTAAAATATATTTATTTTTTTCATAATATACTAAAAATCAAATATAAAAAGTAATTTAACTTTAATTTTGTCAATGTGGTTAAGGTCATTTGAACTTAGATATGTTTTTACAGCTGAGAGAATCTCCAGGGAATTTAAAGCGATTATATGTAATTATATTTAAACGGTTTGTGTATAGTATGTATACACAACTTTATTTTGGGTTTTATTGCGCTATAGGTTATATGTGAGTAAATTATTTTTTTTTGTCAGTTCCGATCATTATTACTGTTTTGCACACTATAAATGTATGCTGGAAAATTTGGTCATATACATATTCTTAGTATTTACCTATTAATCTTAGATTGATAAATATCTACAATATATTCCATATTCTATTTGTATAAACCGTATATTATCAATATTACTTATGTTATAAATATGTTACATATACAATTTTAAAACTGTCAAAATACTTGTAATAACACCCTGTGTGTTGAAAAATTTTAATTTATAATACATAAAAAAAAAAAAGATTGATAAAATTATTCTGTGATCTCACACTTACCAATCTAATAAATATTAAGACATTATAATGCTGAAGGTATCTATTAAACTTTTTTTTTTGATATATTACTATTAAACTTAAATATACAGGTTTTTTCTTATTACTTATTTATTTATTATTATTTTTTTTTAAATGTATTTAATAATATGTTGTATTTTAAAATGTCTATAGTAAAAATATAATTTATTTGTTAAATAATTTATATTATTTTTTTTCTTTTTAATAATGTTAAAATTATAAAAAAGTTATAAAGTCTTATAATAATATATTTATAGAATATGTAGTTTATGAGTTTATATGTATAATATTGCATTTGGTATAAATGTTATTAAAACAATAAATTTCAGTGCCATTCAGTTAAAGTATATTCTCAATGTAAATCCTTTTCAAAAAAATTAAATAAACATAAAATAAACGTAAAATATTTTTAGTTTTGAAACTATAATATTATATAATTATTTATACTTAATATTCCACTATTTTTTTTCTAAATCTGTTTATTATTAATAATTTGTTATCTTCAGTCTATCAAAAATAGATATTACTTACCACATAATATTTTATAAATAAAATTAATCACGATTTTTTTACAACAAATAAAACTATTACAAAGGCATTAATTCATTAAATATTGTTTATTTCTAATTGCAAAATGTGTATAATTTTTGTACAGTTTCAACGGTAAACATACGGTATGGCACTTAAATTTGTTCATTAAAATATCACTACTAATGATGAACTTAAAAATACATAAATTACAAAAATATCTAACTATTTTTGTTGTTTTATGTATTGATTTAATGAATGAGTTTTTTTTCGAACTATTACAATTTAAATGAAATATATTATATACAATATGTATAAATTATTATTTATTATATACCAAACACCCATTAGTTTCAACAGCAGACGTAAATTAAAAATTAATACAAATATTATAAAGAACATTTGAATACTATTACACTGTTAATAACAACTTACTGTAAAAAAATAATTTAATTAGAATTCTTTGGATATTTTTAAAATTAGTTCAAGTAGTATCTATCCTGTAGAGAGTGTAGAGCATTGAATAACATTTATATTACCATTTTTAACTACTCACTATAATTTAAAATAATTTAAAATATGATTTACATGCAATTTATTATTCTAGGGATTTGTTGGAAACGCCAACGGTTTTGATGTTGAGTTTTAATAATTAATTATAATACCACTTTACGTGTAAATTTATTTAAAAGCTAAGATGTTATAATGGGTAACTTATTATGTTATTAATATTTTATGAAAACTAGATATGCACTATAAGTATATAAATATAAAAACAATCACCAAACAGCTTTTTTACTTAAATTATACTCTAAAAGCTTTTGTAAGTTACAATGTGGTAAACAAATATTTATACAATAACTATTATTATTCAACACAAAAAATAACATTTTCTTATATCACTAAACTACTCAAGTATTTTAAAACTTCAAAATTTAAGATAAACTTTAAAAGAATAAAGGATTTATAATAATAATATGAAACAAATATACCGCTTGACTAATGATGTTTTATTCATTTTAGTTAAAATAAATGTGATTATAAGTTATACTTGAAACAAATTAAAGAATTGAAATTGAATATATTAAATAAAATTTGGGAATTTGTTATGAAAAATCATAGTTTATCTAAGACTATTAGAACTAGGTATTAAAAATAATACAAAATAGTTATTTCAAAGATAATTATAAATATCTTCATAATATCTATGTGTTCTTGTTAATGAATTGTGTAACTAGCTAGAAAGTTTAAAAAAATGTTATTGTTAAATGATTTGTCGTAAGATTGTGATTCAAATATAATCTTTTCATACATTTTTTTAACCAATGTTATTATTTATATGATACTATCCAATTCAAAAAATTATTTCATTATATTTTAAATTACAAAAAATAAAATGTATATTAAAAATAATTATTCAAGCCTTTATGAATATTTAATATTGTGGACTTTTAAAAAATAAAAAATAACATCAGCTTAATACTTAAAAAAAATGTTTACTATTTCGAGTTAGGATCTCATATACATATATTATATATTAGTTTTTATTTTTCAGAGATAAATCTCAGCGTAGAACCAATGGACTTATTAACGGTGAACACGAAATTAAAAGAACTATTTCCAAACATTTGGGTAAGTGAAATGTATTATTGCAAATTATTTTATTTTATAATTACTGCAGCAAACATCAAATAGAAAAATTCATTATTTATATACAAATTTAATTACAACATATTATTCCATTAAAATGTTTGTTGGTACATATATCAGATATTAACGCGCATATTTAATTTCAATTTTATCATTATAATAAGAATATATTTACTCACAACAATGATTATCCACTAAAACGTAAACATGAATCCAAAATATTATTTAAATTGCTCTTTTTTGTAAACAAGGTTTTTGTTTTAAAATGTATAAACATAATACACAATATTTTATAATATATAATATAAAGAGGATTTTCATCGTAATCAAAAATTTTCCTTTAAAAAAGATTAAAAATAAAACGAATTTAATAATTTATGTACCTATCATGATTATTAGTTATATAAACTTGTATAAATATTAATTTATATTAGAATTAATTTCAAGTGGATTTTCTATATTTAAAAGGGAATAAAACCATTTAATAAGATTATCATCGGTTTGTTACAAAAAGTATATTTAATACATTTATTAAACGGGTATTATGAGTATGGACAACTAAAAATATATTTACGAAAAAAAAATTGTTATAATAAAATACTATAATAATAATTATAATATAATAATTAAATTCTTAACTCTAAACCCGAAACTAAAAATTCCCTTCAAATGCAATAACCTAAATAAAATATTTTTTAGACTTATTTTATTATTTAATTTTATTTATTTCCATTTGTTTACCTAAAATATTAAAATCCAACTATATCAAAACATTAAACACGAACAATTAGAATCAAAACAATAAGGTGGTTAAAATAATGTTAATTTAAATGAACAACAATTTTGAAATTCTTTACACTTGATCCTATACGGGCTAAACTTAAAAATGTCATTGGTACTATTTTTGATTAATCACACAACACTTTAAACCAACAGAAATTGAATGTGTGATTCCCTAATGGTAGGCAAAATGAAAAAAAAAACAACCAAAATTATTTAAAATAAATCAATGTTAAATCCATCAAGTTATATGTAAATAAATAATATATTTGTTTCTAAAAGTTAAAAATTATGGGAAACGTAATTTATTTGAAAATTATACCATTAATATGTTTTAATTATTATCACCTAGGAGATGCATCAAAATTGTGTACTTTTAAACTTTTTCAAATAATAACTACCTAATGATTTCTATACCATTCATTTTTACTGTACGTTTTGTACAATATTATGTCATCTAAATACTTAAATTAAAGAATATCAATTTTATTATTTTAATTTTAAATGATTTTACACAGCTTGATTATACTAAAAAATAATTAATGAATTAGTTTTAAACACAACTATAAATGTACATAATCATGAATTCATCTTAATATATTATTGTTCAAATTAATTTGAAAAAGCTAAAAGTTATATAAATAAATACTTTAACTAGCTTTAAAATTGTAACTTGTTAATGTCTCACCTTTTGTTTTTACTTTTTTTTTATTCATAGGTGATATATTGGCATTTTCATTTTTTATTTTATATGTATCGTTCATTGTATGTATAAAATATTATTTTCAATAAGAAAAAAAATTTTAAATACAAATATAACGGTAAAAGATACGCACAATGTAAATTATATTCTTAACGTTGAGACTTCTACCATACAGAGTTTATAGCGTTTACTAACATAAATTTTATTATTACCAGAAGTTGTCTGAGTTAAATGATTTAAAGTCAATTTTTTTATAAAGTTCATAAATGCATAAAAAAGGATAAACGCAATGAACATTCCGAGTATAATAAAATGTTTGTTTAAACGGTTTGTCCAAGCAGACTCGTATTCATAGATAAAAAGGTATATAATAATATAATATTCCCTCTCTTACAGGGCTCAGTGGGCACCTATAAAGGTTTAAGCAGTTTCCACAAAACGTTTTCCACTTGAAAGTTTAATTAATAGCCGTTACTCTTTGTTCTTGCGTCTTTCAATCAAACGTTTAATTAAACGCTCGTGATTAAATTCATTTGACTTGCTAGTGCAGCAGCGGAAAAAAGAATTGAAGAAATAAAAACGAAAACTAAAAGAAGAGAAAATAATATTACAATAATTATTAAAAAAAAAAAAAAAAAAGAAACTTACTTCTCTGTTCTGAAATTCCATATTTAATGTCAATCTAATGAAGAAGTGAGCGAACTTCACCTCTTTATTTTCGTTTATTTTTGTTTAGTCTAACGAGTCGGAATCGCTCGTTTTCTTCCTGTTGTAATTATTTCATATTTTGATAGGAAATGAAACTTTTACCTATCCACAGTTCTAGTTGATTATTGCCGTTTAATTTGACAATACTAACTCTAGCCCCAGCTACCATCTAATATCATATCATTATAAACTTGCAGTACTATAGGTTAGGTATACGTATCTATACTATAGTTCATACTTTTAGTCATTTATCCGAAATGAAAGTCACATTCACCCCACGAAACCCTTAACAATTGTAGTCGTACTAGAAATAGGACGCTCTCACGAACGTCTGGACGCATAATATAATGTAATACATCGTACGGAAAGCAGAACGTAGTACATATTATATGTATATGTATATACATTATATATTTTACTCGTAACCGACGGGCGCCACGTTATTAAAAACCATAAATCCGGTGCCACACTTTTTAACAATCACTCGGCTCCGCGTCTGTCTAACTGCGTTAAATGGCAATCCTTATATTCCTTATTATTATTGTGCCACCTTGAATAATGTATGGTTTAATATTATTATTATTATTATGTGTGTGCACATTCGAAGCACGACGATAACGTTTTGGCGGAATGCGCCCCGTATAATTTGATACTAGGCCACTGCAATGGTTCTCAAACTACTATACGGGTAATAAACTAAAATACAGTGAACAGAAACGTTTGGGAACCTCTGTCTTATAACTAGGAGATAAAATAATAAAAATTGCACTATATACTCAGCCGAGATTGTTCTCACCAACGTACATATAGGTATATACTTTGTAGGTCACATGGGTACTCCGTTGTACGATAAAACGGAATCTTGAGCGCAACCACTCCTGAACCATTTGTCGATGATAAGGAAATAATCACCCTTATTAACTTGTCTTCCACGATAAAACGAAAAACGCACGCAATGTATATTATTTTTGTGATACATAAAGCATACCGACTCCTGCAGATTCTAAAATTATTGTTATCAAATATACTCAATGATTTACACCCCCATCTTTTTTTTATAAAATTGCTGTTATACAAATTCTAATCTTGGGAATTACTTAAAAACCATATTTTATACCATTCAAAAATAACCATAAAATATTTAATAATAGTGGTTTTATATACACGCTAGTCGCTAGTACATACACATGTTATATATATATATATATATATATATATATATATATATATATTCGAAAATTTTTTAATAACTATAATTTTAAAACCATTTTAATTTCTATATCTTTCAAACCTTTTTTTCGAGTTTCCCTACGAAAATCTAAAGGTATCCCACTAGTAAGGGTCACAGCGCAATAATTATTTCCTCATAAATAGTTTTTAAATTTATTGTCATAAACTATAAATAAATTATCCATAGAGCAATATAGAGTTTGATAAGTCAGAGAGTATTCGCTTATATTTTGATTTATGTGTACATATACGTTTTATAAAAAAGGAGGTATCACCACAGGACGTTCCTTAAATGACATGGGAAAAAAATAAAATTAAAATGTGGTCTTTGTAAGTATATACATTTTACTAACATTATTAGTAAATCACCCTGTTTATAAATATGTATTCTTGTGATCTTAAACTATACAGTGCACATAGTAACTACGAGTTATAAACTATTATAATATTTGTATGTAATTGTACATCGGAATAGAGCAGTTCCAGTTATGATTTTTATTTGGATTTTTTGATTCAACAATATTCATTGTGATAGATGGCGTTTTATCACTACTATTGTAGTTGTTGTTATCATTAAAATGTTTTCAATGTATAGTAATATAACATTTAACAATGATATAATATTTTCATATAATCAATTTTACTAACTAAAAATATAAATTTGTTTAGATTCACAATAAATTTTAATTTTTAGATTAATTTTTCTAAAAAATACTGATTTTAATTCCTTAAAATATTTCATGATATTTTTGGTAATTCATATAAATGTAAAAAAGCTTATCTTGACGTACGCCACTAACAAAAGGACAAAATAATCCAAATTAATTTTCATGAATAGTATTTTACAGCGTACTTTAAGTAGTTTCAATTGGATTATTGAAATGCCCACAAAAATAAAAATGCAACCACCTTAAAAACACGTTAAAAATTCTTAGAATTGTGTATTTTGGTTTCATTGGTCTTAAATGTTTTTTCAAAACTGTTTAAACTGAAACTCTCATGAATAGTTACTATTGGACGGCTGAGTCTTATTTAAGTGCAGATATCATTCAGATTTTATTCTGTACAGAAGATTTTACATGTTACTTCATCCTCTTCAATTACAATAATTTGTTGTAATGTGACAATTCAATTTTTTTTTTTCCTGTAATAGTTTATTTTACGATAAACATTTTTATTTTTTATAATCAATATAATTATTCTGGACTTATTTATATTTATGTACTTATATTATTTCCTTATATTTAGATAGTGCATGATTATATAGTATAACTATATAACACGTATCTACTTCATAATTATCAAAATTAAATTATTGACATTATTATAGTTTTTTTACGTTTACGGTACACCCTTATTAATCCATATAATATCTTCTTTAATTAATTATTTTTTAAAACCATTCGTTTAAAGTTTGAGTTCTACAGTTCACAAATGACTATTCGACTTCACGAATTTTCATCCTGTGATAAAATAAGTTCATATTAAATAGTAATATATAATCCTTATATCAAACGTGTTATTATGAGGAATAAATAGCTTCAAAACAAGTAACTCACAT